CCCATATTCACTCACTCAGGCTTTGGAAAAACAGACTCCCCTCAGTCACTGTACTAATACATCTGAAAATAATGGGTTCTTCCTGAATCTCCAAGTACTCTGTGTATTTTCCGGTCACGTGGTAAATTCCGTAACAATTCAGTACATATGAAGCCCTATGATAAATACAGGGTATGTGAATAAGGAAAGGCTGGCCTTCACCTACACACAGAGTGCAGGAGAAATAGGCACTTAAATAAATGGTTGTTATAAAATAACCATTAAAAAAAAAAAAGGAGCAGAGACTAACTTTTATACTGATTCTTCCGAGGCCTATGTCTGTGAAACCATCCCTGACCCCCAATCAGTTATGTTCTCTTTATCTTTGGCTAACAGTCTACCTTGTATTTCTATACCATTCACCACACGTTTTTTTGGTCCTGTGTTCATTTTTCCTACCAGCCTATGTACATCTCGGGAACAAGATCTACGTCTAATTCACTTCGTAAAGCTCTAGGTCCTGGAAACATTCTAGATACACAGAAATGTTGAGTGTGAAACAGTGTCATTCTCAGCCTGTGCAAAGATATATATTCAAAGATGTTCATTGCAATGCAATTTATAATAGTGGAAATTTAGGAACCTGGTTGCCACCTGTTAGAGATCTGTTTAAGTACAAATAAATGTACATTATTCAGGCATTAAAATTATTAAATAGACCAATATTGTTGATATCAAAAGATGTCCTTAGGAAATTTTGAGTGAAAAGGAGATTATAGGATAGTAGATTATTATATATGCACAATTATACATATTTAACTATATGTCCAAATGCCTCAAAGTATTGTCATTAAACTGTTCACAGAAGTTTATCTGAGGAGTGGGATTTTGTGTGCCCTTAATTTCCTTTTGTATGTTTTTCCAAATTAAAATTTTTTTCAATGAATAAATGTTATTAAAAGCAATGGGCGCACCATGCAGTGTGCAGATGATATTTTACTGAGTTGTACACTTGAACCCTGTGTCCCAATAAATTCAGTAAAAAATAAAACAACAGCAACAACATAGATTTTTTAAAATTCCATCAAAATCTGATTACACAGACATTCCTGTAGATGGCCAAGCCTTAGTTTAGGCAGCGCTCATTGATGGGCAGGTCTGCAGGAGGGGGGACAGCCACGCCCATGTTGGAACCATGGTTTACAATCAGTGTGACAATGATGTCAGTGTTTGGAGTCCTCAGGGCAGGATTCATCAAATTGAATATGCAGTGGAAGCTGTCAATCAAGGTTTAGCGACAGCTGGTCTGAAATAAGAAACCCCATGCAGTGTTGGTTACACTGAAGAAAGCACACTCAGAACTTGCAGCTCACCCCCAAAAAATTCTCCATGTTGACATATTGGTATCTCAATTTTGGGACTTACTGCTGGTGCTAGGCTGTTATGTAATTTTATTCTCCAGAAGTGTTTGGATTCCCGATTTGTATTTGACAGAACTCTTCCTGTGTCTCCTCTTGTATCTGTAATTGGAAGCAAGACCCAGATACCAACACAAAGATATGGCCAAAGGCCCTATGCTCACCGTAGCCGGTTTGGCTCAGTGAATAGAGCATCGGCCTGCAGACTGAAAGGTCTCGGGTTTGATTCCGGTCAAGGGCATGTACCTTGGTTGCGGGCACATCTCCAGTAGGGAGTATGCAGGAGGCAGCTGATGGATGTTTCTCTCTCATCGATGTTTCTAACTCTCTATCTCTCTCCCTTCCTCTCTATAAAAAGTCAATAAAAAAAATATTAAGACCCTATGCTATTGGGCTGCTTATTGCTGGTTATGATGATATGGGCCCTCTTGTTTTCCATACCTGCCTATCTACTAAATATTTTGACAGCAGATCTGTGTCCGTTGGAGCTCATTTTCAATCAGCTCATGCTTACTTGGACAGACATATGTCTGAGTTTATGGAATGCAATTTGAATGAACTGGTTAAGCATGGCCTGAATGCTTTAAGAGAGACACTTCCTACAGAACAGGACCTAACTACAAAGAATGTTTCCATTGGAATTGTTGATAAAGACTTGGAGTTTATGATTTATAATGATGATGATAATGTGTCTCCATTCCTGGAAGGCCTTGAAGAAAGGCCACAGAGAAAGGCACAGCCTGCTCAACCTGTTGATGCACCTGCAGAAAAGGCTGATAAACCAATAGAGCATTACGTGATAATCCTCCATTCTATATGTGTATTATCAAATGTGTAAGAACACAGGAATATGTATTCATGATAATAATCTATACTTTGAACCCAAAGGTGTAGTGGTGGAATGGTATGTTTTAGGAATCAGACCAGATGTGAGTATTTTCTAAGCAACTTCACTGAAACCATATACTAGGAAGCATTTTTTCTTTGAGAGGGTCTATATAATCATTTTCTAGAAAATATAGTTATATGTACCTATGTTTTTATATGAAGAACATAGTATCTTTGTGGTTTTAAAGACAATGGTGAAATGAAATTGTTTTATCTGCCGGGAAAAATATGAATGGCCCTTTCCTATTATGCATAGGAAAGTCTCCCACAAAAAAGAATGATCTGGCCTCAAATGTCAATAGTGAAGTTGAAAAAATCTATCGGAATTAACATCATAAGTTTCTTTACTACCATCTGATGGTTAGAGAAGGACTTACAACTTCCAAGTAGCTCCAGAAAAAAATAAGATGATTGAAGTAGGGCCTCAGCAATAAGATGGAAGGCCATAAGATGTATAGTTGTAGTTTGAACAGGACACAGGGGAAGACTATGGAAAATATGTGGTTGACAGGGTCTGTGATGATATTACTAAGACTAATATTTGGTTGTGAGGCTCGCATTTTGTATTTGTAAACATTACATTAATATTTTCAATTTCATTGTGACTCTAGAGACCAGAATAACTACGTGCTGAGGCAAGAAGGGCATCATTTGCAGGGCCTAGGCTTTCTTTTTGACCCCACCTTTCTTACCCTCAACCTGAAGGCTATGCAGAAAGAAGTTTTTATTTTTGTTCTGCTCATCAGTTTTACCTATCTTTTTTACCATCCAGTTTTCTTTTCTAATTATCTCTTACTACTGAGTGACCCATCTGACAGCCATGTCTCATGCTCCTCTTCACTGCTCTCAACTGATTGTGGGCCACTGCTTACTTGCCTGCCTGCTGGTCACCTCTAGAAGACCTATGTTCTCTCACCTCTCAAAAAAATGCATGTCTTTCCAACAATTATAGGAATCTTATGCAACCCTTATTTATTTTTTGCACGTTCTTTTTTAAAATATGCTTTTAGGGAGAGTGATGCTGGACCCAGAAGATGGCGAGAGGCAAGAAGGTAGGGAGGGAGAGTGTGTGAGAGTCAGGGAGCGATAGAGGAGTGTGTGGACGTGTGTGGGTGTGTGTGTGAGTGAAATAGGGATAGTTAGATCCTACAGGTCTTCCAAGGGGCTGCCAACCCAGACAGTCTTAGATGGGAAAACCCCGCTGCCACCGCAAGCACCCAGGGAGCACACCGGTGGCACAGAGACCACGCCATCTTGAAGAACAGAACTGCTTGAGACTAGGATCCTTGCCTCGCCACCACCCAGTCTGGTCTCAGTAGCAAACCGGGACCCTACAGCCACTTAGGTAAAAGACCTGCGACCACAGCTGCAGATCCAGGGACACCTAGACTCCAGGCACCCTGGCCACAGATTTCTGTGAGTCACAAAGCCAATCCCCTTCCCCGCTGGCCCTGTGGCAGTGGCATAGGAACTACCAGACCCCGGACACACAATCAGGCTCTCTGCCCACACACAGTAGCGGCAGCTCTACCTGAATTTGAGCTTTGGTGTGCAGACACGGGAAGTTTGTTTCCCATGACCAGGCTCCCCACCCAGGTAGGGAAGACATATACAGATGAAAGAACATACCATGTTCATGGATTGGTAGAATCAACATCATTAAAATGTCCATACTACCCTGCCCTAACCGGTTTGGCTCAGTGGATAGAGCGTCAGCCTGTGGACTGAAAGGTCCAAGGTTCAATTCCAGTCAAGGGCATGTACCTTGCTTGCGGGCACATCCCTAGTTGGCGGTGTGCAGGAGGCAGCTGATCGATGTTTCTCACTCATCAATATTTCTAACTCTATTCCTCTCCCTTCCTCTCCGTAGAAAATCAATAAAATATATTTAAAAAACTAAATAAAAATTTAAAGACAAATGGAAAAAATATTGGCACTATTTAAGGCAAAATTAATATTTTTACATATGAAGATCTTTTGCAAAGCAATTAAAAAATATAAACCTCCTAATGGAAATATGGGCCAAGAACATAAACCTGAAAGCAAAAAATAAAAATTGTGGAACATCTTATATAATAAAACCTTAATATGCAAATTGACTGAATGACAGAACAACTGGCAGAACGACCGGTCCCTAAAAGTGAATTAATAAAGTTAAAAGATGAGTATGGTGTTGGGAAAATTGGACAGATACATGAAAACAAAAAAAGAAACTCAATGTAACTAGACCACCATACACAAAAATAAACTCAAAATGGATAAAGGACTTAAACATAAGACAGGTAACCATAAAAATACTAGAGGAATCCACAGGCAGCAAAATCTCAGACATATGCCGAAGGAATTTCTGCACTGATACTGCTCCTAGGGCAATGGAAACTAAAGAAAATAAACAAATGGGACTACATCTAAATAAAAAGCTTTTGCACAGCAAAGGAAACCATCAACAAAACAACAAGAAAGCCACTACATGGGAGAACGTATTTGCCAATGTTATCATCAATAAGGGTTTAATCTCCAACATTTACAGGGAACTCCTACAACTTAACAAAAGGAAGATAAACAATCCAATCAAAAAATGGGCAACGGCCGTAAATATAAACTTTTCCAAAAAAAGACGGAAAGAAGGCTAAGAAACATATGAAAACACTAGAAGCCTGTTGCAGGAGGATTCCTGCAAGAATAGGGCTTCCTCGGGCCGATTTCACTGCCAAGCCCCTCTGCCCAGGGTTGCAGACGGAGGTCCCGCCCACCCAGGGCCGCACACAGGGGTCCTGGCTGGGGGTGGGGCTTAGGCGACGTGTTCACTCTGCCAAGCCTCACCACCCAGGGCCACACACTGGGTTCTCGGCTGGGGGCGGGGCTTAGGCGGCACACAGGGGCTGGGATGGCAGCTCACGCTGGCCCACCCTGCCTGCAGTATGCAAATTAGCTGCCATTTTGTTGGTTGTTAATTTGCATATCATGTTGAGTAGCCAATGAGAGGAGTAGCGAAGGTACAGTCAATTACCATGTCTGTCTATTATTAGATAGGACAATGCAACTTTATTTCCTTCCAAATTAAACCATTTTTAATAAGTTTATTATAAAGATTAAACTACTTCCAGGCCAAAGTAACACAATTATAACAACAAAAGCACTCTGAATCATTCCCCAAGAGCAACAAAGCAACAGAATGCTGCTTCAAGATATTCACAAGTTTTATGGGGGTGGCCATCTTTTTTTTTTTTTTTAATATATTTTATTGATTTTTTAAAGAGAGGAAGGGAGAGAGATAGAGAGTTAGAAACATCGATGAGAGAGAAACATCGATCAGCTGCCTCCTGCACATCCCCCACTGGGGAT